TTGCTGTTAACTAAGAACCAATTAGTCAATACTTTTATGCAGGGCTCCTGATGGGTCCCATTTAGTTCTACCAAGAAAGCTGACTTTTACACCACAGACTTTTCAGTGTTAATATTGGAATTAAAAAGGAAGAGGAGGAGGACAAAGAGAAGCAAAATATATCAACTTTCCCAGCTGATGGCCCCTTTCACAAGTTTAAAGTAAAGCCACCACAGAATGTGCACCTATTACTGGGTATTACTTTATTCCCTTGTCCTCCAGATTTATTACTTGCACCATATAACACCTATCATAAAACTCTTCTTCCCAGTAGACTGTTATTTGAATTGCAAAAACAAACCTATCCAAGAACATATCATCAAGTAAAAAGTAAATATGATAGAATTACAAAGCGATTTATTTGCATAGAGATGCCTGACAACTCAAGTCAAAATTTCATCCCAGAATCTGGTGATGGTACTATGAGATGCTCCATCATCCCATCTGACTTTTAGTTTTACAGCAAAGGAGAAGTCATGACACGCTCATAAGCTAGAGTAGGAAAAACTCGAGGCCCATATCCACAAGGTGAACCATAAGCACTTCTCAAAGCATCTTGTACCAATTCTCTCCCTGAACATTGCTGCACTGTTACCTGTATTTTTGAAAAATTATACATAGACAAAGGTATTTTTCCAAAGGATTTACATTTTTCTATCATTGTAGAAGTGCTCTTTTTGTGAATTAAGACCTGCTTTTTTTTGCCCTATTTCCCACCTGCCTTAAGAGTTTGTGGATTTGCTATATAGTACAATGTGCCCTTATTTCACCAGTTTTTCAATTTTCCTCCTCATCCTGCCTCCTTTTTATCTGGTTTTCAAATGCTAATCATGGCCTTTGCCTGCCTTGCCTTACGTTTGTTCAATATGTCCCTAGTACCTCTATCGTTTCATTCTGTCACCTGCTTTATTTACCTGTCTATACCACTTGAACTTCGGGTTTCCTCTAGGGACTTGCAACAGTCACCTTTAACTTCATCTTCTACTTGCTGATTCCCCATGCAACTATCTCATATCAAACTGGCCTGATTTCACTGGCACCTTTATTTAACACACTGCCCAACTTAGATTTCCACTCAATACAATAGGCACTTCAATAAAATTGTGTCCTTGCAAATTATCTTCCAGATTTCTTTGGAAACTACAATTATTTTTTACCTACACTTGTCCTGCTGATTGAGTGAGCAGAACTTGAGGAGCAATAGGCATCAATGTCACTGAACTTGGAGTAAGACAATCATGTCCACGTCCCTCAACTTCAGTTAGCTTCCAACTCCATGGTGGAGCGTGGCACTTACATCTACAGTGTTGGTGATGCCATATTAATGAGGATCTTTCAGACTGTAAGAAAGAGATCATCTACTTCACAACCCGAATGTACAAGTAACTAAAAGGTGGCTCATAACTGCACCTCATAAAAGAGTACCCCAATTGCTCAGATCTGGTGTCTTTGTATCAGGGCTTTGGCATTATCTTCCAGATGAGAAATGTATCCAGCTGAAGCCATCTGGATGGGTCATTTATTTACCTTTTATCTTGCAGCATCTGGATTGGACAAACTTTGGCTTAGCTATTGATTCTTGGACCCATCACCTGGGATCAGGTAGCACAATTGATTTAATTCATCATAAAGATGCAACTCACCAGAGAAACTTCATCCTGAAGGCACTGCCTCCAGGTGCTCCTGCCTCCACAAGGGGCTGTGAGCATGGCAAATGCTCCCAACAGCCTACCTGGAGGGCGATTCTTGCAACACCAATTCTCATACCTCTCGAGAAAAGAATTCTGTGATTAATAAACACAGAATAAACTTGGATACAGTGCATATTATAGCTTCCTGTTTAGAGATTGACAATGCAACTACCACTTCAAATGTGTGGAAAAGTCCTGCAATAAAACTCTGTTTAACTTGGGGCAACATTTCCTAAGTAACTCATTTTTCGCATAACATCCTACTGACACCCAGTGTAAGATGCTTTGGTGGATGCTGATTTAGACCTCATCAACTGCCCACTCGCATGAGCTTTATTATTTATTAGTCTCCTAAACTAGTAGTTTCCAATCACTCTAAATCAGAGGCACCTGGGGACAGTTGACAAACTATAATCAGACTATACAACTAGACATTCTGAAGTATTTGTCCTGGAGATCAGAATTAAAGGCTCTCCAGATACAAGACTAATAATAATAATAATACTTCTCTACGTCAGTCTAATAATAGCATTTACTAAACACATGCTATGTGCCAGACTATAAACAAGTGTGACTGTTTTATTACATCCTTAAGTCAACCGGTCTGATGCATATTGACACCAGTGAATAAGCAAGAAAATTGAAGTTCGGTGAAACTAGGCAACAGCCCATGTTCACACAGCTGCTATGCTGCAAAACTGAAGACTTAGAGCCTTCGGGAGTTACACTCACATGTTTTTCTACCTTCCTCTTGATCTGAATACCTCCAAATTCTGTGACTGGAAGCTGTAGAGAAGAAATGACACAAAACACTTGGAGAATTGCCCTAGGTCACACTCTCATAGCATCAGCTTTCACATTTCTTTGCCTGACAGCACTCCTGAATTAATGTCTTGTCATTCAAGGGCCTCCGGCCTTCAGTGAACTCTTGTGCTTACTGTGCTCAAATGCAAAGGTAATAGCAGTTACATCCGTGATAACTTGTAACAAAACAATACAACAGGGAGATGAGCTCCTGGGAGTAATGGAAGAGTACATGTGCTCTTGGCAGACTCTGAATAGGGATTGTGTCCCAGCCACATTCTCCAGCAAGTCACTGAGTGTATCCCACTCCCAGCTTCTGTCACTAGAGGCTTCCTCCAGGGGCCAAGATGATCAGGAGATAAAGTATGGCATTCAGGTACTGGCTGTGCTAAGTGTGTCTACGCTTAAACCTGAAAAGTGTCCATATAATTTCCCTACATTCTTTCAAATCAGAAATGAAAAAAGCCGATCATACGCAGAAGCCAAGTTTTACTGTCAGCACACAGGTGCCGCGAATCTAAAACAGGATTCTTACAAGGGGCTGCAGATCCCAGAGACCATTTGGAAGGGCTTTACTGCCACCTTGTGGTCACAAGGACGCTACTGTCCAAAGCATGTAAAACCGAAAACCCAGCAAACTCACTTCTTTTTGAACGAGCTGAAGGACCCCCCCCCCCCATTCCACTGCACCTCTGAGGACCCACCTGCTACAGCAGCGCAGCTCGATTCCTCGCTGCCCAAGCCGGGGCCCTTGCTTCCTCCCAAGTGCCGATCCTGAGCAGATTCCCCCAATGAATCACCCACGTTGCATGTCTTCAGCCGGGGGCTGCCTTTTCGACATGGCCTAAAACAGCGCTCTATGGTCTATTCCCAACACCCAGCTAGAGTTACCCTGCTCAAAGCTAAGTCAGGTCCTGACTCGCTTGTCCATATCTCTTCAGTGGCTCTCATCTCATTCAAGTCCAGGACAAGAGCCTAGCCATTTGCTGTCCCATCCCATTATCTCTGTGACCTCACCTACTCTCCCTTGATCACACCCGCTGTACTGGCTTCCTTGCTGTCTCTCAAACACATCAGGCGTGTCCCTGCCTCAGGGCCTTTACACATGCTCTTCTGTCTTTCTCAACTGCTCTTGCTCAATTAGCTGCTGCAGAACTCCCTTCTTCACCTTCCTCCCACTTAATTCAAATGTCACATCTTCAAAGAGGACTTAGCTAACCCCATACTTACGTGTGCAGGACCACCCCACCCCCCACCCCCCGCCCAGACTCCACATCCCTTTCCTGTTTTACTTTTCTCCATAGTATCTATCCCGATCTAGCACATTATATATTTTAATTACTTATATTCTTGGGTGTCTGTCTCCTCCAACAGAATGTAAGCTCCATGAGGATAAGGACCTCATTGCTGTATCCCCAGACTCTAGAGCAGTGTCTGGTGTACAGAAGTGGCTCAATCACTGCGTACTGAATGAGCAAGTAAAGGAATGACCAGAAGGGCACAGGTGAGCCTTAGGGAGTCCCTTGCACAGCATCTGTTTTTCTCCTTGAACCCTGATCCTTACATCATTTTGGTAAAGGCTGAAATGCAACATTTGTGAAAGCATCAGATAAAAAACTGGTAAGGAAATGTAAATATATTTTTTATTGAACTGAATTCTTAATCAGCAACTTACTTAATTTTTATAATCTACAAGGCTACCAGGTTTGGCGGGGGGGGCAAGCAGAGTACATAACATTCAGGCACAGAAAACTCTGAAAATGGTTCAGATATTTAAATGAAATATAAAAAGATGTATTCCAAAGCCATATACAAAATGTACAAATGATGAAATGCATCCTGTTTAAAGACTTAATAAAAAGAGCAGTCTTTGCATTTTATATGTTATAAAATGTGAGGACCTTCTTACTCCTACCAAAAAAATCCAATAAAAGTTAATTGCATAATGTGTCAGATATACTTTGTTTATATAAAATGAATCCTCTTTACATTAAAAACTATTCAAATATAGTTTTATTATTAAATTGTTCTCAATTTCTGAATTTTCCATAGTCTATGGAATCACATTTCTATGTGCTTCTTAAAATGAGGTAAGAAGATAAATATTAAAACTTTTTCCAGACAAATTTTTCAGATGTTCATGCCCCACTGACTCAAAGTGCAACATGGCCTTTACAATTCCTTTCATGTGAAATATTTCCCAGTGATTACTTAGTATTCTGCACAAAGAAGAGTAGCAATACCTGTCATTTAAACATTCATAATGTTATAATTCTTTTTTTACAGTTTTAAGATCCAAATCAAAGCTTTTCCTAGAGTGATTCACTATTTTCCTTTCAGATATTTTAATAGATATTACTAAACTCTAGGTCTCTACACAGAATCCTTTAGAGCAAGAATCAGCAAACTTCTGTAAAGGTCCAGATATAAATATTTTGTTTTGTAAGTCATTTCTCTGTTGCATACTTTTTTTTTTTACAACTCTAAAATTAAGGATTCTTTAGTTTTGCTATAATTTGCTAATCACCACTTTAAAAATAGAATTAGTCACTAAATTAGGTGACTCAAGTGTTGGTAAAATGTAAACTTCACAACGGACAGTATAATCCATGGTTTCTAATTTCTAAATTCAAAGTTCACAAACAGTAAAAAATGAATCCCATTGAAAAAGCAGGACTATAATTCATATATTCTTTTTAAACAATGGCACTTTCTTATGGCTCTTCATTTTGACTAGATAATACATATGTCTACTTTTTTACAGTCCTAACTTTTTTATAAAGAAAAATGTTCTTCGTGTGGCTACTTTGAAGTTTGTACAATCAAAGACATGCTAATAGAGGTAGATACATACACACCATGTGCCGTTACAAATACTTGCACAAAGGAAGCCACTGTTTCATATATAAATCCATAGTTTAAAAGGAGTCAGTGCAAATCAGTTACAAAGTACACAACAGATTACTGCAGAATATTCCCATTGGTTTTTATCACTTGTAGTCATTGTATTTGGGGAAAATATGATTTGAATATGAAATATGTAAATATAAATTAATACAGCAGCATGCACATAACCTGGAGCTGACTAAATACTGATCTATAACATGGTCCTGTAACTTGGTACTAAGAATCACACCGTATTCCTGTGTGTGTGTGTGTGTGTTTTGTGCATGTTTTCTTTCCTCCCACAATCAGTGTTAGAAACAGATAATGCCAAATAAAAGAGCAGTTCTGGATTTACCTAAATATTTCATAAACAAGTTGGAACACTTGGAGTTACAATCAAATGATATTGTACAAAACCATTTAAAAATTCTAAAGCTGAGAAAATCAAAAACTTTGGTATTCCTAAGAAGAAAACTCAATTATACCAGGAAGCCTCTGCCCAATTTTAACTATAAAAACTAAATTTTTCAGTGCAAAAATATTATGACAATTGATAAATAGCAATGACGCAACAACCATACAAAACACATAAAGGCTATATAACACAAAATATCCTGAAGGTATGTTTTGGTGTAGAAAAGGTCATTTGGAATTAGGAAATAGCAGGTTGTTTGACAGTGTGAAGTGTGAGTCTGGGTGTGAGAATCCAAAGGCTTTTGCTTGCAAGCAGACTCAACACATTTATAACTCATCACGTTGCTTTTTAAATGGCCACTTTGGGTGCTGCAAGATGTGATCTGCAGCCTCAAGGATGAGGTACATGAATTCTTCCACATCAAAAGAGTAGTTAGTGAACTTTGGGTGCTCCCCCAGAGTCGGGTGGTGGCCCTGAAAAAGCAAACCAGAACACAAATCCTTAAGTTATTGGGGACATAGTTTTCCCTAAGGAAAGGACATTATTTTACTTTGGCTAAGGCAATTGTTTTAACTCATTCTGTACACCAGAGGTTGACAAACATTTTCTAGAAAGGACTAGATAATATTTTCAACTCTGTCAACCCTATGTTCTCAGTCACAGTTACTCAGCTCTGCTATTGAAGTGCACAAGCAGTCACAGACAATACACAAACACATGTGTGAATGTTCCAATAAAACTTTATTTACAAAAACAGATGGTGGGCCAGATGTGTACCTCAGGGCCACAGTTTGCTGATTCCTGCTGTATCTAATCTGTTAGATCTCTTTTTTTTAGTTTCTTTTTTTTCCCCATTAAGTTTATTGGTACATTTTAGGTATAAAGTACAGTTACTTTCATCATTGGGATCTTGTACCATTACATGAGTATCTTAGTTCTTATTTTTTTTTCCCCTTCCCTTGCCCTCCCTTCACCCCCTCCACCCTTCCCTATTTGCAAAGACTTTGTTTCCATTTTTT